TCTTAAATACCCACAAACCTCTGGGGACCAGACTCAGAGCAAACAGTAACTACATACAAATGACATTTTCAGAAGTGCAAATGAGCCTGGTTATACACACTATCAGCTAACAATGCCCATCATTAACTCTGCCACAGGACAGGGCTGTGAGCTGCACTGCTGAGGTTCTGTTTCACCTGGGCAGCAAAACCTCTGCTCCAGATGTGCAGCTGACAGTGCAGGGAGAGCTCAGGAGCACAGAGGAGGCAGACCAGGAGTTCTACCATCGGATCAGGAGCCTGGAAAAGGAGCTTGTGGCTGAGAACATCCCAGGTACAAGCCAGGGCTGGGACAGGGCTCAGGCCTCTCTCTCTTTTTGGGGGTCTGCAGTCACAGCCAGTGCATTTATTCCTGAGAGTTCTGGAAAAGCAGCTGGCACTGGCACCTGCCCCTGCTCCCTCTGAGGGTGTCCTGGCACAAGGGCACAACGAGGGGCTGCTCTCACCCCAGAGCCAGCCCTGGGATTTCTGTTCAGAGCAAAGAGTGGAGCAGAACCACCCTGGCAGTGCCCAAGGCCAGGCTGGACACTGGGGCTGGAGCAGCCTGGGACAGTGGGAGGTGTCCCTGCCATGGCTGGGGTGGGGCTGGGTGGGATTTAAGGGCCCTTCCCACCCAAACCATTCAGGGCTGTGTGAAGTGGGATGTGTGAAGTGTCTCCTGTGGTGATGGAGCAGCTGTTCCCAAGCTGGGGAATGTTGTAATCCTCACTGCAGTGTTGTTCTTGCCTCTCTGCTGGGGCTCTTCTCCTTTCTCTGCAGCTCAGTCCTTCCTGTCTTCTCAGGGGCTCCTCCTGGGCTCTCAACCCACCCCTATTTATTTCAGTTGCCTTCACGAGCTACAGCTGCTGCCCAACTAAGGACCCTGCAGCTGCAGCTCGTTTGGAGCAACTGGGACCCACACAGATCCCACAATACAACATCTATTCAGGCCCCCACATTGGCACTCACAGATCTTACAATACAACATCTATTCAGGCCCCCACAGGGGAAGGCTGTGTGGCAGGATTGGAGCCCTGTGTGAGGTGACAATGCTCTGTGAAGGGCCCTCATTCACACCCAGGGTTTGTTTTGCCTGCAGACAGCCACGGGAACGTTCCCCCAGAGCTGGAGCCCATCCACCTGCTGGCCTGGGCGGCCTCTGGCTACGTGATCTGGCAGAATTCCACTGAAAACACCAACTTCAACCTTGCCCAAGTGAAACACGTGAAGCAAGTGGTGAGTTACCAGCAGGGACAGAATCCCAGACTGGGCTGGGATGGAGGGACCTTCAAGCTCATTCCCATTCCCCCTGCATGGGCAGGGACACAGCCCAGGGTGCCCCAACCCACCTGGCCTGGCCTTGGCTTTCCCTGCAAAGTACTCCTGAGCTAAGCAGTTGTGGAAAGGACAATACATTGAATTAACAGAATTCCACAGATCCTCCCAGTTCTGCTGTGTTCTGTTAGAGAAAATCGATTCTGAGTTAAAAATAACCCTGAAGTGATCATCAGGTTTAAATTCGAGGCAATTTTCCACAGGAGCCAGGAAAAAGCAGCAGGATTTGGTGTTTAGAAAACAAAGTTTTGTCCCTCTGAACAGACAGTGAATTCCCAGGAAGTTCTGGGTCTGAAGGAAAGACAGGAATTCCTTGTGGGAGGAAGGATTTGTGAATGTTTTGCTCCCTCTGATGGCATTTTAGAGAATTCACAGCTGCTGCAGGGCTGTGCACCAGCAAGACTTCAAAGATTTTCTCTAACAAACTTAGGGATAAAGGAGAGAAATAATGATTAACTAACCCAGATTAACTGCCATCTCTCTAGCTTTGTCCTTTTTCCCTGAAAACACAGGAAAAGAATCTATTCCAAAGGCCAGGGGTTATTTTGTCACTCAGAACCCCTGGCTGTCACTCACAGAAAGGCCTCTGGAGTGTCCTTACCCTCCTGACAATTTTATTTGGGATTGTTTGGGTTAAACTGACACCTGCTGGAATGAGGTGTTCCCGTCCCAAAGAATTCCTGACAGACCTGGTCTCTGCAAGGCAGGAATCAGCAGCTTAAAGCTTTGCATTCACTGTCTCCAGTGCAGTTTTGGTGAGCACAGAAATTCAAACCAAGAGCTTTTAATTTTGTTACAATGCCTGGGCTCCACCTGCTTCATTTGTGATCAGGAGCTGCCAGTTTTATCTGAAATCCATGAGGGAATTTTTGTGATAGCCACAGAGAACTGAAACACTTTTTCTGAGGTGGGAGAATCCCCAAATTCAGCCCTTTTCACCCTGTCTTTGCAGAAAAGAAATGATGATGATCTTCAGTTTGACTTTGTGGTTCTACTCCATGAAATGGTGTCCCAGGTAAATAATTTTATTTCTAAAAAGCCTTTTTTGGCTGTTTTAGCACTGCAGCTGGGTGAGCTCCAGCTCAGACCCAGATGTGATGCTGCAGGGTGAGCTCAGGTCCCCATCCCTGCCTGTCTCAGCATTCCAGGAACAACAGCAGCAGCTTCAGCTGCTCTGGGGCTTTGCTGGGAATGGCTGAGGCTCAAAGCTGGTCCCCCACAGGGAGATCCCTCCTTGGGAGATCCCAGTGCCACAGTGGGCAGGGATAAAGGGAAGGGGCAGCTGGAGCATCCTGGATGCTGAATTCCAGCTGGGCTGTGGATCCTCCATGGCCTGGGACAATCCCAGGAACCGCCAGCAGAAACCCTCCCAGAACAGCATTCACATCTGTGCTACTCTCCAGCAAAACTCTGGCATCTGAGCAGGTGTTTTATAGGAAAACCACAGAAAATTGGGAAGGGAAGCTCCTGACTGTAATAACCCAGGGATCTCCCTCCCAGCCCCAGCCCCAGCCCCAGCTCCTGGCCCCCTGCACTGCCATTGCCTTGGGTTCATTCCCAGGTTTCCCATCAGGCAG